GGAGTTTCGCTCTTGTTACCCAGGCTGGAGTGCAATGGCGCGATCTCAGCTCACCGCAACCTCCGCCTCCTGGGTTCAGGCAATTCTCCTGCCTCAGCCTCCTGAGTAGCTGGGATTACAGGCACGCACCACCATGCCCAGCTGATTTTTTGTAGTTTTAGTAGAGACGGGGTTTCACCATGTTGACCAGGATGGTCTCGATCTCTTGACCTCGTGATCCACCCGCCTCGGCCTCCCAAAGTGCTGGGATTACAGGCGTGAGCCACCGCGCCCGGCCTTCCTGTATGTCTTTAACAAGCTCAATCAGTGTTTACATGTCACCCCATTTGCTTTATCATGTCCTCTCTCTCTCTCTTTCTCTCTCTCCCTCCCCCCCTTCCCAACCCCGAACCCCATGTATATGTAAAAACTTTTTCCGGCCAGGCACAGTGACTCACCACTATAATCCCAGCATTTTGGGAGGCCAAGGTAGGAGGATCACTTGAACCTAGGAGTTTGAGTCCAGCCTGGGCAACATAGTGAGACCCTGTCTCTACAAGAAATACAAAAGTGAGCTGGGCATGGTGGCATGTTCCTGTAGTCCCAGCTCCTTGGGAGACTGAGGCAGGAGGGTCACTTGATCCTGGGAGGTGGAGGTTGCAGTGAGGCAAGATTGTGCCATTGCACTCCAGCCTGGATGACTGAGACTCTGTCTCAAAAAAAAAAAAAGAATGAGGCCAGCCTCTTATATAACCAGCATAATTTCATACAAAACTGGGAATCTAACATTGATATCATACTCTGAGCTAATCCTCAGTTAATTGTCCAAGTGTTGACATCTTTCCTGCATCCATTTGACCTTTCCATTATTCTTTGAGCACCTCCTCCCTGCCCAAACCCTGAAGTCAGCCATTTCTCAGAGAAGCCCTTGAACAAGGAAATGGGATTTAGAGATCAAGTTCTGGGTGCTGAATGTGCTCACTGCTGCATGTGACACTGTGTCACAAATGTGACACTGGGGTGTCACTGTTTTCTGGGTCCTCTTGGGGAACAGAGTTAGTGTCATGAATTCATCTGAATATTTCTAAGTCACGTCTCAGCTTCCTCCCTCTTATTTCCTCATTCCACATTTGTATTCGGCTTAATTCTATGAAATTGCCCTAATTGACCTTTTTTTTTTCTTTAGACAGAGTCTCACTCTGTTGCCCAGGCTGGAGTGTAGTGGAGTAATCTCGGCTCAATGCAACCTCCACCTCCTGGGTTCAAGGGACTCTCCTACCTCACCCTCCTGAGTAGCTGATATTACAGGTGCCCAACACCATGCCTGGCTGATTTTTGTATTTTTAGTAGACGTGTGGTTTCACTGTGTTGGCCAGGTTGGTCTCAAACTGCAGACCTCAAGTGACCCTCCCACCTCAGCCTCTTGAAGTACTGGGGTTACAGGTGTGGAGCCGCCCCACCCAGATGTCATTTTTGATCTACAAAAAAATGACAAAATCCATGTGGTTCAACCTAATATCTCCTTTGTCCACAGTGAAAACCCTAATTTTCAGTAAATCAATATATTTATTCATTTTCTCTGTTCTAAAATGCCCTCCAAATAGTTTGAGGTACTGCAGCAATCCTGCTATTAACAACAGACCTACTATGGAAGTTTCAGGGTCTCTTTGCAGCTATTTTTGTCCCTTAGAGTATGTCCCATTAGAGAAATATATTGTGTTCAAAAGTTATTTGAATTAATTTCTTTTTCTGTGTTAGGTTAGGTTAGTGTATTATAGGGTTCTCCAG